GAGTTTCGGCGAACGCTTATATATATATATGGGGGGAATAGTACCGAAATGGCCTTAAATTGGGAATTGAAATTATTCTTAATCAATTTGTTTCAAGAGTTGCCCGAATTATTGGCTGCCTCATTTTCATTGGTACCCAGAACGGAGCCGTAATGTTGACAACCCCCCCCACCCAATATGTCTTTTGTGCAACCGGCCCCCAATTTGGCTAAAGTAATTGAAGTGCTGAGGATTCTTTCATTGCTCAGTGGGCAAAATGGGAACTGGGCTGTAGATGTCGTTCTACAGGATGCAATAGAGAAACCATTGGGGTCTATTCCCTCATTCCGTCCTACCCTCCCCCCACCCCCGCCTCATCAATACACAACATACTACCATTATAAAATTGGGGGGGGCGGGGCTATATTGGTCTTTAGAAGGTGAAGGGTTAATTTGTAAGGGAGGTCATAAATCCATGTATGACCGCTGTGTAACCCTAGTTTCCATTAAATTGTCCACGTTCTTTTCTGTTCCTGTCTCCACTATGGGGTGTTCTTATTCGGTATGTAGGGACCATTAACTACAGGGATCTATTTCCTCAACCCTAAACCCACCCCCTAATCCCTAACTCAATCGTGATCCCTATCGCGCTAGGTAGGTTAGTCTTTTGCATCTTATGCCTCCCCAGCTACTGCAGGCTCCCCAGGGTTTAGGGGTCTAGGGCTTCGTGTTTAGGTTTAGGGCTTAGGTTTAGGGTTCAGGGGTTTAGGTTTTCTTAGGGTTTCCCTGAATGGGCATAGTCATACTACCAGAACCGTAAGAGTATTACGATCAGTATTGTACAACTGTTAGCATTCAACGTAAGAAGACTGCCACCAATAAAACTTACAGTCGGAGTCATATATAGTAGCAGGTATGTGTCAAGATTCACATCCCTATGGACTCCCTCAAGACCAAGAAGTCCTTTAAGGGAGGATCTCCCAAGATGGGCCTTACTATTCGTGACACACACATTGTAATTCAGACAATGGACAGGATGATGAAGCGAGAAAACCGGAACCCGTTCGGCAGCTGGTGGGAGGGCTCGAAGGCATGTGTTTTTGTTCCGGTTAGTTTAGAGCCTTTAGGGCTCGGTGTTTAAGGTTTTGGGTTTGGAGTTTGAAGGCAGAATGAGGGTCTTGACTTCGGGCTTGGAGTTTGCATGGAGGATCGGGGTCCTAGGTTCAGGGCTGAGCCACTTGTGTTGGGGTGAGGGTTGCACGTATTGGGCTTCGAGTTCGAATGAAGGGTGGTAGTTTTCGCTTTCGCCAGCGTTAGCGGCCGTGGACGAAATACCTATATTACGTGTTTTTTCTACGAGATACACTACATGGGCCTCATAAAACGCTGGCGTGATAGACCGCGGGGCTATATATGTCAATACGTTTAAGCATACGCTTAGAATTCGATTACCGCAGCATCCATGCCCAGAGCCTCATAACGATTGTCTCTCGAGAGCATCCAAGGCCCAGCCATAATCCCGTTGGTGTTCCAAGAGCATACGGTCACCACAGCATCCGTGCCCAAATCATAACCCCTTTCATCTTATCATGAACGTGCTCGTCAGGGCATCCGTGCCCAAATCCTTATCCCTTTCATCTCTTAATGAATGCGCCTACCAGAGCATCCACGCCCAAACCATAATCCCGTTCATCTTTGAATGGCTGCGCTTACCAGAGCATCCATGCCCAAACCATAATTCCGCTCTTGTTGCAAGAGCTTACCGTCACCACAGCATCCATGCCCAAAAAATAAACCCGTTCATCTTTTGATGTTTGCGCTAACCAGAGCATCCCTGCGCAAAGGACAATCCCGTTCATCTTTTAATCTTTGAATGATTGATTGCGCTAACCAGAAAATCCATGCTCAAACCATGATTCCGTTCGTGTTCCAAGAGCATACACTCCAGAGCATCCATGCCCAAACAATAAATCCGTTCATCTTTTGACGATTGTGCTAACCAGAGCATCCATGCCCAAACCATAATTCCGTTCGTGTTCCAAGAGTTTACCGTCACCAGAGCATCCATGCCCAGACCATAAAATCGTTCATCTTTTGATGTTTGCGCTAGCCAGAGCATCCATGCCGAAAGCATAATCCCGTTCATCTTTCAATGACTGCGCTAACCAGAGCCTCCATGCCCAAACCATGCAAAACAGCGTTCGTGTTCCACGACCATGCGATGACCAGAGCATCGATGCGCAAGACCATAACCCATGTCATCTTTGAATGATTGCGCTAACCAGAAAATCCATGCCCAAACCATAATTCCGTTCGTGTTCCAAGAGCATATAGCTGACCCGAGCATGCATGCCCAAACCATGCCAAATAACGTTCGTGTTCCAAAAGCATACGATGACCAGAGCATCCATGTGAGCAAGCTTTTAAGATGCGCAGGATTTCCAAAGTGGCTGGCAAAAAATGTCGGCAATGCTTGACATTGAGAGAGCCAGAAATTAGCAGCTCGCGGTGGAGATGGGGCCCTCCTAGCTTTTGTTGGAGTGCACTTAAATATGCTCGAATTCCCTCCAAACACAATCACAAGCACTTAGCACAAAGTCCTGAAGCATTCATAATTGATGGGGAATTCGAAAGAATAGGACTAACACCCCTTTGCCGCAGCTTTCTCCTAGTCATTGGCCGAGCATAAGTTTTCTTGGTTGGTCTCCCCATCGCGCGATGAACTGGCAGCGGCTTGTGTAGTTTGCCTTGGGGTTTGGTGGGCTAGGCCAAGGCACACGCGTAGCCCTCGCATGTCCCCTGCCCTTTATTCCTTTGTGTACTTGCCTCGTCAGGTCCTGCTGTTGCAGCTGTGTTCTTCACAGGTGATCAGTGTGACAGGTGTTGTGTGAATTTTGCTGTGGCGTGTTCTCTCTGTTCTGCCTGCTATGTTTGACATTCCGCATCGCGGAGTGCGAGCTGCGCCGTATGTTGGCTCCGGCCTGCAGCGCCCTGCTAGGTCGGTGACGCGTCTGGTTAGACGAGTCATCGACAATGGCAGCGCCTAGGCCCGTGTACCACTCCCTGTCAGTGCTGCGCCACAAAGATCCTGGTGATGGTGCTGCTGGTCTTGGGTCTACGATCGCTTGTTGCCCTCAACCTTGTGGGGTACCTCGCACTGCTGTCCTTAAACCGGGGTCTGCTGCTGCTGTACCTTCATTGCGCGGCCTTGAGGATGCTAAGCGTGTAGAGTGGGCTGGTGTGTGGGTTGATCTTGCTTTGGGTGTTGCCGAAGACAGTGCAGTGCTTCGAGCTCTTCCTGGTCGTGGCCGCGATCAACTTCTGTTTCTATTTTCTGATCGTTCTGCAGGTACCCTTCGCAAGCATTTGCCAGGCTGGCGCTTATGGCTTTCCTTCTGCCAGGGTGTCCAGGTGGCACCTGCTAAGGCGGATCTGGCGGCTATATTGGATTTCCTAGACGTGCTGGCTACAGGTGCGAAGCTTGACCGGGGAAAGGGCTGTTGCGGGAAAGCTTAGGGCGTCGTTCAAGCATTACGCTTTGTCGCCCGCAAGCTGGCTCTTGAATCCCTCATGCACATTCTATGTTCAGCGCCTATTGCTGCTTGACTAGCTAGTAGCAAGTGGTCGGCGTCTTCCGTAAAGGAGGCGCTGCCTCTGCCCTTGTTTGCCGTAATCCAGCTTGAGCGTGCCTTGGATGCGTGCGAGCCCGGCGACTGGTGGCCGCTTGTTTGCTTTCTCCTGATGCTATGGGCTGGTCTTCGTTGGAGCGACGCTCAGCGCCTGGACTTTGAATCCGTAATACTGGACGGCGGCTCCATCTGCGGATGGAGCTGGAGAACAAAGACCAGTGCAGTCGGGATGCCATGGGGCGCCCTTTGCCGTGGGGCATGTGCGTCCAACTGGGGTAGCCAGTTGGCTTGGGGCATCTTCCGCGTGCGTGAGAAAGAGGCGGGCCGTGACTATCTGCTTCGCCATTTGTCCAGGCCAGCTGGTTACACAGCAGTAGTTGCTATGTTCCGTCGATGCCTGGCGTGCTACCTTAGCACCGAAGCAGCCAGCCGGTACACTTTGCATTCCCTGGAAGTCACCACGCTTTGTTGGGCTGGGCAATTGGGCATTGATGATGAGAAGAAGGCTGCCCAGGGGCACCACAGGGCTCGCGCAGTTACGCGGTCCGTCGAGAAGTACCGCCGGGACGACGTGTTGCCGCAGCTGGCTTGTCAGGAAGCCATCCTGCTTGCTATTTCCAAGGGGTGGGTCCCTCTTGTCCCTGCGCAGCGGGGAGTGCAAAGGTTGGATGTGGTGCCGGACCACAATCCTGTCGCTCCGGACGACACGTTTGAGTCTGCGGTCGATTCGGGTCTCGGGGGTGCCCCGCGCCCGAAATACCTGTGCGTAAGGAAGATACAGATGGCCTGGAGGACGCTAGCTCCTGCGCAAGTGACGACATTGCAGCCTTAGATAGTGATGACGAGTCTGCGGAATTCGAGCCATTTGATGGGCCTTGGCTACTCAATGCTGTGTCGGGTTGGTATCACAAAGCTGTGCGCTTGGACGATGATGCGCCGTCAGAGTGCGGAGTGCTCTGGCAAGGCAAGTGCTGGGGTCGAGCTTGCCGTCCTCAGGCTCGTGGACATCTAGCATAGAAGTGGTGACGGAGAACCCCTTCTTTCAGGGCTTCAGCGCTTGCCACCATGTAGCGTGCTTTGGCCATTAAGTCTGCGGCCCCAAGGGGTGCTGGGAGAAGGTGCCGCGTGCTGCGGGAGCCTGTGATCTGGGCTTGTGGTGCAGGCCGGTGCGCATGTTGCTGTCCCCGACCTATTGAGTAGTGTCGTGGTTGATCTGGGGCTGATGCCCCTCTTCGCTTCCATGACTGGAATGCGTGTTGTGTGCGTGTGTGTGCGCGCCATAACACTGGTGTGTATATGTGTGAGTGTGTGTGTGTGTGTGTGTGTACCGTTGCTCCTTGACGGTTGCTATTTGGCGTGTGCCAGGGGCTTCAGCCTGGGGACAACTACATGGCACTTAGCACCCGACATCTTCTGATTTTGTCTGTAAGCAGCAGGGGTCTCTGTTATATGCTTATAGAGCCGTGGCTAGGAAAAAGTCCCGGGCCTCCATGATGTGCTTTCTTTACCTGGCCGTGGCTGCCAGACTAGTTTTCAGTTTAGGGCTGAGTCACTTATGTGGGACTATGACCCATAGATTCGAAACCATAAAACCTTAACGGGTTGATATTGAAGGTCCTGCATGACCCTACGTGCTTTATACCTTGGGCATGATTATGGTATTACAGTATACTGCAGTCGTGCAACATGTTCAGTATCACAGTACGATTCGTCCCCGAGTGGTGTTGCAAGGGAGTAAGCCTTGAGCTCCTATGTAGGCTGCCAGTTCGAAGGAACAGGTCAGCAAGCCCTATAAATCCTGCACCCTGAATCATGAACCTTAAACCCTAAACCTTAAACCTTTCAGCAGGGACCGCAGAGGAGCCCCGTCAACCTGTTTGGGTGCTGAGGTCTGTCTCGCAAGAGATTGAATGTGGGCTTATGGGTTCCCCGGCTTTACCACCCCCCTATATTAATCGCCTTGAAATATCCCCCACCCCCCTAAGAATAAATACTCCGGGAATGTTTAATATCAGGGCGGGGGGGGGGAAATTTCAGGCGGAGGTGATTACAAACTACGAGTCCTAGGCTCACCGTTAACTTGCCTTAAGTAATGCTAAATGATATTAAGTAAGGGGGAACTTTAGCGGGTAGTATAAACCCGAAAACCCTAAACCTTTAAACATGAGAGGCTAGGTAAACCATAGCATAAAATGTGGCCGAGACGGCCAAAGCAGCCTGAAACCCCCGAGCCGTAACCTTCAAACTTATAAGTACCATATTGGGGTATATAAAGGATTATATTGGGGAGTATATTGAGATAATGGAAAAGAAAACGGAAACTACTATAATGGGGCATATGGGGGATGTATGTATATATATAGACGTCAGCCACAAAATCTTGACAAGTTGACCCTGATGCCTGTACCCCTTTGCCTCCAAATAAGCGCTCAATGGACTTGGAAAGTATGCTTCTTACCCCTATAGGCCAAGCGAGTACCTGATTCTCCCCATCAGTGTGCCAGCAAGAGGTGGTGGAGAAGATCGGAGGTGTCGCAACCAACGACCCATGTGCCTTTCCTCCGTGAGGCAGAGCAAGTATGAGGTAGTCAAGGCATTTTGGTGACCTCAACAGCCCAAAAGTAGGACCCCCATTATATTCATGCGACAGTTTCAAGGTCCCGATATAACCTCCATGTAAACTTATATAACTTGGGAGGATTGGGGTTGCCATAACCCTCCTACAGTGAGGTGTTCGGCTTTTGGGGGGTGTTTAGGGATACTCAGAGGCTACCCTTGCTCTGAGTCAGGATTCGGGGTACTCTAGACCCTAAACCTTAGACCCTTACTTTTTGGGGGAGTTCGGGTTTAAGCAGGGTGAAGATGCACCATGCTTTCGGTATATCTCGAATGCGGATCTTTGTAAACTACCGGAAGCATTCTTCTCCCGATCTCCCAGCCACCCTGTAGCCTTCCGTCACAAGCTGAGCTAGCTAGAAGTTTGAATGCTTGCCATTGTGATAATCATGTAATTATAGCACGGTATATCCCAACATCCTCGGCCAAGTAAAGAGGCCGCTTCAGTTCATGGGTAGCTATACCGAGGGATGTAACCACCCGATTCAGAAAGCGTTAGAACCAGAATCACGCCACCCATACCCAACGCATACCTCCCCATGAGGCTCCAAGCAATGTCAAAAAAAGACTTGAAGGTGGAAAACACTGTTGGCCGAGCGCCCCTTCACAGGACGTCGCAACTAAGATGCTGTGGAGCAGCTACTGTAGTTCTGCACAACGGAATTCAAGGACTCGGACACTTAAGCAGAGTTGCCATGTAGAAGTCTCAAGAACAGCCTGAACCCTAAACCCTTAGAAGAATAAGTAGCTACAGCAAGGGATGAAGTTTGTCAAAATTGTGGCAGAGGGCTGGGACAAACTGCCACTCTGCAAAAGTCATCGGTTTCCGTACTACCCCCCCCCCAAGATTCCAGGCTCAAGGTAAGGTTTAGGGTTGCTAGCTTCAGGTCTCGGATGTAACACCCTAAACTAAACCCTGCACAGTGCTAAGCATGAGAGTCTGCACTGGGTTGTTCTCCAGATTATGGGCCGCTTTAACTTATTCTTTAAGGCACCCAATATTCAAGAGCACCAAAAGGGACCCTAATTGTGGAACAACCCACTTGACATCCCTCAGGGCAGAAGCGGTGCAGGCCGTCCACCCAAAGGGTTTGGAGCTCGAAAGCGGCTATGTGTGCTGGTGTAGGGGCCAAGATAAGAAGAATAGGACGTATGGTCAGGGGTTAGGGTCTAGGGCTTTTAGGATTTAGAGGTTTCGGGTGTCGGTTTAAGGTTTAGGGATGTGCGGGCCTAAGGTAAAAGAATGAGGATCGTGGAGAATCAAGTGGGAAAGGCTGTGGCAAATGGCATTGGAACCTGAAATCATATGGGGGTTAGACAGGCATTGTAGGGCCTAGGGGCTTGAAGAATTCCAAGAGTGCTACATGATACTAGGATTGCTCAAAGATCGTGAGCTCTGTCAATTTTGTTTTCACAGGAATTCCGTTTTTGAGAGTTCATTGGTCCACGCTTCGGTGCCCCGATATCAAGCTCGCGTACTGCTGTATTGTTCAGCCGAGTGGAGCTTGGTGCCAGCGATGAAATTGCATGCTTCATTCGGCCTCGTGCTAATTACAAGTCCTTGCAAACCACCGGAATTTGAATGTCCCCAATCTGGCACTCCCTGGAAGCCTATCTGCTACCATACTTGGAAGGTCAGGGGAATTTGGTAAATAGTTTATAATAGGGATAACTGGGGTTTGCATTTCTTCCTAGGGGTTATGCGTATACTTACTGCGTCCCCATTTCTTGCAAGTAGCCTCAAGACTCGAAGTTTGGTTGGAAGATCATGTCTGAAGTCAACCTGGCCCGAGGTCGGAATTTGCGAGCGCTATGTGAAGCATGGCGGTGCAAATGCTGGCTGGTTTTAGGAAGAAAAGTGTCGCGCAATTACAGGATTTGGCATGAGCCGCAGGTTCACGTACAATCCATGGATTATGAACCCAAATTCTAGCCCTTATTCCATAAAGCTTAAACCCTGACCCATACATGCGTACCCAAGTCTGCACCTTCACGCTCACTTCAAAACCAGCAGAAAAGTCTCAGGCGGCCTTTATTCTAGCAGCATGACGCCCGTTGCTCCTAAATGCCAACAGCAAGTGTCCCCCCTATTACAAAGCATTCCCGCGCTCCAATATTGCATCCTCCTCAGTGTCATAGAGTAAATGCCAGAGTGGGGAATATGTCGCACTTGCTGCGAGGGTTGTTTGATATTATGGGAGACGAGAATGCTTCGAGTTAAACCTGCCTTCAACTTCGACGTAAAATGTGCGCTTCGACTATTTAGAGTTTAACGGGATACCTAGAAGATCCTAGAAGTGCCCGAGGCGTGTATATGTTTCAAAGAGAGAGAGAGAGAGAGAGAGCGCGAGAGCGAGAGAGACAGAGAGACAGAGAGAGAGAGACAGAGAGACAGCGACAAAAAGAGACAGACCGAGGAGCAAGAGACCAGGGGGAATACAGGGCCTATTCCTGGGATTACAAAAGGATTCTTGGGCAATCCCCACATCAACACTTGTTGTCTCGGGATGTTTCAGGTTTCCATGGGCGGCTCACAATCAGCAACGGGCGTTGTGGTAGAACAGCAGCGACAATAGCTTGGCGCTGGTGTGGCCGAAAATGGTAGCCACACACATCACGTTTTCCACACACATAAGACTTTCTTCAAGTAGCATGGGTCTTTACTTTGTGGTTCATGTTAACACGCGTTCCTATATAGTTTTACACACATTCGGAACAATACTTTCGGCAACGCAAGATGCGAGATGACATGCTTGGGTATATAGGGATTATCAATCAGATGTAAATGCAAATGGAAAATGAATTGGAAACTTGGGTTTTATAGGCTCTTGGATAAGGAGGTTGGTGTATTGGGCAGCGTGAAGAAATTGGATGCAAGCTCCGTGTCAATGTCAATCCAAGGACAGGGGCATCCGTGTAAATGCTTCGGTTTTCTGGAGAGTGCAATTTAGCCTTCAACAGTTATATTCCAAATTGAGCGTGTACAGAATTATCTGCAGAGAAGAGCATTCTTTGTCTTTTGTTCGGTCTGCAAACCCTGTTTAAGCTGTTTATGGTTACTGGTACGGTGCGGGATGGGAAAACATTGAAGACTGCTGGTATCGTCTGGTGTGCCCCAAGGAGCTTGTTCACTCTCACGCCAGCGAGAACTGTTGGAGCGCTGCCAGCCCAACAGAATAGCATGCCTACCTCCCCTATATCAACAACACCGTACCCCGTGAGTACAAAGACTGACATCTTAGCAAAGTCCCATGCTGTACCCCCCCTGAACCCTGAACCCTAAACCCTAAACCCTAAACCCTACACCCTCTTGCGTAGGCCCTAAACTTCTCCAGCGAAACCCAGAGCCATGAGATGCCTAGGCTCAGATTCTGCAGCTGTTTGTTTGGGTCAAGGGCTTC